ATTTTTTTTTTTGAAATAACACTAAAACATTTGCAAAATAGTTTTCCATATTTCGTTTAACAAACTTTGTTTTATAAACTGTTTTAAACAGCTTAAAATTTTTATTGTTATTATTAATATTTTATTTGTCGTTTGTTAAAATAACAAATGAAGAAATTAAAACAAAACCTGGTTGGAGTGAGAAGAAGACAAGTTGTCTTATCACCAAGTCTTGTTTACAATGGTGGTTTTTCAAACGTTTTAAAAACTTAAATGTAAATGAATAATAAATAAAACAACAAATTCACACATCAGCAAACTATTTGAGCAAATAATACTTCCATGGAATTATTTAAGAGATAAAACACAATTATTTAAGAGATAAAACACAATTATCTAAGAGATAAAACACAATTGTCTAAGAGATAAAAGACAATAAAGATTGATAACTATAAAAAAAAAAATCTTCAAAAAATTTTTTTAATAAATAATGTACTACAAGTTAGTATTGAAAACTTATTTTTCATTTTAAACAAATAAATTTTAGGAATAAGAGTTAATAACAATAATGATTTTAACAGTTAGTTATTTACCTTTTTAAATTATTTTTAAAAAGTTTTCTGGAAATTTGTTGGGAGATTTATCATTTATTTCATTAAAGTAAATTTAAAATAGAAGATGCTATTAGAAATCTTATGATCTTATGATTTGCTTTAAAACTTAATAAAACATAAATAGTTGGCGAATAATAATTTTTTGATTAAATTTTTTATGTAATTATTAATTTGTTAAGGAAATAATTCCTAAGTAAAACTGGAAACTGGAAATTATTCTTTCTTACTGTTTTTACATTATAAATACTATAATAATGAGTCTTTAATAAACTTTAATATATTGTTCCAATCATTTCACAACTTCATGTTTTAAAAAAATTTAAAAAGTGGAGAAAAAAAATTTGCTATTCTTTCTCTTACAACACAATAAAACAAACGAAAAAGACAATTTTCTAATTTGTTTCAGATACAAGAAAATCTCTCTAATTTGAATTTTATGAGGGGAGGGGGATACATTAAAATTTTACAAATAACATAAATAACAAGTGCTTAAATTTTAAATTAATTGAAATATTATAAAATACGATTAAATTTTGCAACGATATATATTTATTGTATCAAAAGGAAACTACAAATATTGATAAAGAAAACCGACTCCAGGCTCTTCTGTGCTTAAAACTTAAAGCTAAAGTATGGATCCTTGAGGAACACGTTCCCCTAGGATTCATACTTGGGCCACTCTTATTTTTAATATATATAAATGATCTTTACAAAGCTTTTAATTTAACGACTATTTTTTGCTGACAATACGAGTTTATTTCAATCAAACAAAGACACCACATGTTATATTCGTTAATAATTGCGGCAAAGATTCCTTGTTATAAACAAATTGCTTACGGTTAGTGACATAACTTTTGAACCAGTTTAGAGTTTTGACTTTTTTTTTATAGAGTATGGTGATTAACAGTGTCAAAAGCTTTTGACAAATCAATAGAAATGCCTAGTGTAAACTGAAAGTTTTTAAAATAGTCGGCAATACTGCGCGTTACTTGGAGAATAGCGTGTTCAGTAAAAATTTCTCTGAAATCCAAACTGATTTTTATAAAGAAGTTTTTTGTCAATCATTGTTTATTGTCATCATTGTTTTCGCAGATCATTTGATAGGAACTGTCACCCTTTCCAGCAAACACTAACCCACATGCACTCCCTTCAACTCCAAAGTTTACAAACTTTAGAGTTTCACCATGATTAAACACGCGTTTAGTATCTATTATACCGTACCACACTCCTTCTGAAGTTTTTTCACTACTCTTCATTATACTTCTAATTTTAAGTTCTTTGGCAAGTTCATTTAAATGACTTTCGCCCATTTCTCTAGTGCAGTTAAAAGCACGGTTCATAGAAACTCTTCCGTGTCTATTTTGAGACTGGGGTGCTTTGCCATGAACCTTGATCAGAAAAAACGTGATTTAATTGTTAGTTGCGAAAAAGCAAAACGATTGACTGGGAGTACAAGATATTATTTCCTCGAAAAGAGCGATGTGTCATAATATTTGATTCATTTATTGTTATACCTAATTTTAAATAATGACTTTTTATTGTTCAAAAATACATTTTAATTTGCAATATTTATTTTAAAAAAATATTCATTAAAAAAAATCGTTTAATACTTTAATTCACGAGTTTTAAAACTAGTATTTGTGAATGAGGTATGATCGGGTGGTATCAGATACATATTTGGAGGGTGGTGCCGGATAACTTAATCCGTTTACATATTAAAAATAAGAAACTTTTTTATACAAATAATAATACATTTAATGTAATACACAAAACCATAATAGTATTTAATACAAATAAATAGATTTTAAAAAAGTCTTTTTAAAGTGTTTATTTTCATTAATAAAAAGCTTATGTTTATATTTCTAATTGATAACATTTTCATTCCCATTCCTCATATATCAGAGGCAATTTTTAAAGGCGACTTTTTTTAATGTGTTGAGAACACATTTGTGTCGCACGGGTGTTGAGTGTTGAGTTTTTTTAATGTGTTGAGAACACATTTGTGTCGCACGGGTAAAAAAGCGGTTAAATTAATGGATAAACTATGTATCCGGGGCTACCCTTCAATTTGAGACATGCCTTTTTTCCAGCATTTTTTCTTTTATGTTTTGTAAATTACTAAGCTACAATATAACTATTTTTTTGTTTTAATTCAATATATAAATGTTTATACTTTTAAAAAAGTCTTATGACACTTTGTTTTCTGCTTGTACATGTGTACAATCTATTTTTTCCTTAAGTGTCCGAGGCTAACCGACTTTAACCTATATGCAATTTTTTTTATTATTATAGTTCTAGGATCAACATTATATCTACCTTTGTTAACCAATTTGTAGCCTCGACAGTTTTTTTTACAATAACCCACAGCATTTGTTAAAATGTTTTTGTTTCATTCTATTTTGTCTCTGTATGAAGCTGCTTGTTTTAGGTCTTAACCTGAGATTGAACTTTGGTCTCATTTTAATATATTTTAATTGGAAAAACAAGATTAAAAAAGTAATTTGAATAATTTAAAATATAATTTTTTAGTTCTTTAAAAAGTTTTTTATGATATTTTTATTTTATTTTATTTAGGTGTCCCAAGAAGTCCTTACGGTCTTATCACAGAGCACCGCGGATTAGCATTTATTTGGAAGTTCATGCCTCCTTCCTAGCCCAGAGGTGGGGTTTGAACCACGAATCCTTCCTTTCTAAGGCAAGTGCGCTACCATTAGGCCACGGCTGCTCATTTTGCGGAGTTGTTATTTCAAAAACAAAACAAACACAAACTAACTTTAGTTTTTCATGCCTTAAAGTATTTTTTTGTTTTTGTTTTAGTATTGAATGAAACAAAAAATTATTTTTATTTAAGACGTTTTTATTCATTTAAAAGATCATCAGTTTTCCAAAAATATTTAGCGTTGATCGCAAACACGCTTTTAAGACTAAAAAATATTAAAGTAAAAAAAAAAAAATTAAAAAGTACAAGCTGAAACAAATTTTTTAATTCATCATCTAAGTTGAAATTTATACTTATTTAATGAATATTTTACTTTCAATGCATTTCATGCAACTTTTTCTGGAAGTTTTTTAATTTTTACTTATAACAGCCTGTTAGATGATGTATATATTGCCTATTTTTTATTGATCTATATGTTAAAAAAGTAATTATTAATAAAAACCTGCATCTTTAGAATTTTTAACAAAAATACATTAAAAACCTTATTTCAAGAAAAATTTCATGAATTAAAAAATTCTTTGTGAGGGAGATATTATGTTTATAGTAAGTCATTTTCTTGATTTGTTTTTATAGAATAAGATAAGTTTAATTTCCTCTACATGAAATTAAAGTCGGTTGTTTATAAGCTTAACTTGTTATTGTGGGTTACTTATAAGACCTAAAAGTCGGTTGTTTATAAGCTTAACTTGTTATTGTCGGTTACTTATAAGACCTAAAAGTCGGTTGTTTATTTTACCTAATTCTTTTTCAAATATTTTAAAAAGAACAATATTTTTGTGAAAATAAAAAAGATTAAGCTATTTGCAAATAAGATAAATATAAACATTTATATAAAATAAATAAAAGAAAATATTTTTTTTATACCTCGTTGAAAATTTACACATTAAAATTTTAAAAAGTATTCGAGTGTTATACAAATCTAAAAACTGTTTTAATATACGTACCTAAACTCAATTTTTCATCGTTAACAGAAATATACGGCGTGTTAGTAAACTTAAGTGAAATATACGGCGTGTTAGTAAACTTAAGTGATTAACTCATGCCAAACTACTCTTAAGGTAGACGATGATTTAATTTTTTGCAAAAAGTTCGGGAAGTCATAACGGAGGACGAGAAAATTCTCTCTCTTACATTTTCAATCTACCGGAACAAACACATTTTTGCGGCTTTTCTTAGATCTTAGAAAAGAACGATAAATGATTGCGCAGCATTATGGGGTTTACATTTATTGCTTAGTTGTTGGAAAAATTAAACATAGTATAAGTAAAGATTTTAACAGTTACAGTTGCTACGAAAAAAGTGTATGCTTTTAAATGAATTTTATTAATTCTTTTAACTTATTAAGAAGCTGCAGTTCGGATATTTTTCGGCGTGAATATTTAATTCAAGTTTTCTCGCCTGTCTTCCGGAACTTCGCGCGAAAATGTCAGACGAAATATTGTCTACTCGGAAAAAGAATGAATTAAATAAATATCAACATGAAATATTGAAATAATGATTAAAATAAACAGAACTTTATTAAAAAATTAATTTTTAGTTTTTTGGTAAATGTTTGCGCTGTTATTATGCGTAAATTTTACGTTTAGATAAACATTAAATTCGAGTATTTTTTCAATTTTCAATTTACTATTACCTTAATTTAGTTTATTTGAAAGAAATTTTTTGACGAACAAAAAATTTGCACCTAATTTGATACAATCATATTAACATTTTAAGCATTGCTAAAATATACTGGTATTAACATAATTTAAATATACAGAATTCATTTTATATGCATTTTACTCAATACAACTTTGAATAATCAGAAAACAAATAATACACAAAAAATGAAGATCTAATTTATATAAAAACGTACGTATGTATGTATGTATGTATGTATGTATGTATGTATGTATGTATGTATGTATGTATGTATGTATGTATGTATGTATGTATGTATGTATGTATGTATAAACTGAGCAAAAGTAAAAAAAAAGAGAGTAAACAAGTGAGAGAAGAAAAATAAATTTAAAAAAAGATAAATATATATAATATATACCTTAAGTGTCTTACATTTGAAAATGTTGAACCGATGAAAACAAAAGATCATAAAACAAGTTTTATAATACAATAAATTTAAATTAAAAAAGTAAATCTTTTACTTTATTTAAATTTTATTTTTTTATAAATAAGAATTTCGGTAGTGTGCCGAACTTCTACTTGAGAATCTATTTATACGGGTTTGATTTCTTGGATAATCAGTATTGTTGATTATGCCCTGCGTACTTCCTGAAAACGAAAATCTTTTATCAAGCGAGTACGAGTTAAATTTTATCCGATTAAAATCCCAGCTAAAACTGCAAATAAATACGTGCAGGAAAAATAACAGAACCCATTGAGTAAGTTTTTGAATTTTATTACCAAAATCATCGACCTTGGATAAAAAAAATGTTGTTCCAAAAATAATAGGGGATATACATCCTATAATTGTGCAGATTAACCTAAAAAAAACAATAGATCTGATGTGATGCATTGGAAGTACTTGTGATAAATACGTTTGAGTAATCATGTAAATGCACCCAAAAACAAAATATATGGACCCTGCTGAATAATGAGAAATTTGCTCGTAATCTTGAGAAAACGCTGCAGCTGTCACTTGTGCACATATCATAACAACACCGCAAATAAATGATGTAAAGTTAACTCTTTTAGTTTTTCGCGGATAAAGACTATTTATTTGAATGTAGCGAAGTAGTTGAACTGTAAATGTCATAACACTCCCTAATGTCAAAGCAATTGTATAGATACCTTGCTCCGGTTGGTTAATTCCTAAGTCACTTGGAGATAAAATGTAGTTGCTAGGACGCTTGACAATTAAGATAAGAGCGTAGCTAACTGCAAGGAAAGTTGTAGGGAAAATAAACGCAAAGAAGGGAATATATGAAAAGTAACTTTCTAACCGACCTTCATTCATACTAAAAAAATATAGAACTTATTTAAAGATATTAAGTTATTTTATCAAAAAGTGGCTAAAATGTTGTTTACCTTTAAACTTTCTAGTTCACATCCAAATTCAGCATTCAGTTATACAGACATTTACGAAACCATTCCGGTGCAAACTTGTCGCTTTGCATCTTACAGTTTTCTTTTCGACTTTTTGTCGATTAAAAATTTAATAAACTAACGTCTATTTATATAAAATTAATATGTGATTTTTAAAAAACTTTTATGTACAAAGATTTTTATCTCATTTTTCATTTTAAAATGAAATCAAACAAAAACTATTTACATTTGCATATAAATATTAATATTTAATATTTGTCTTCGGTTTCTTAATTACGATGAAACAAGTTTTTATAACAGAAAAAGTTAAACAAAATCGTGTTTTTTAAAATCAATTATACTTAAAAAATCAAAGCTAATGGGTGTTTATATGGTACTACTAAACAGAGTGTTTTATTGAACTTATCTTTGCTTACTTTCTTTAATTTAAGTACTAAGCGTAAATTTTTAACGTGCAAAATTGAGTAAAAATTAAAATCGTTTATTTGTTTTCAATTATATATATTTTACTTTTTTTATTCTTATAGTAAAAATAACAATAAATAGTATAAATATTAAAAAATTTGAAAAAATAATAATAGTAATAATAATGTTATTAAATAAAAAAATAAGTCTTTTAAAAAGTTACAGTTTTTACTTAGTAACAGTTTTTTATATAATCACATTATATTGTGATTATATAAAAGTATAAAATATAATGTGATATATAATATAAAGTGTAATGTGACTATATAAAAATATCTTTTTAACTATTTTGGAGAAAAATAGTATTACTAAAACCTCTGATACATAACTTTTGTTGTTATAACTACTACTGTTCTAGTTAAACCTTATTACCAATAAATGTTGGTAAGAAAACAGTAGTAATAATAACAACAAATCAAAAGTTATATATCAGAGGTTTTAGCAATAAAATCTTTCTAAAATATAGTTAAAAAGACAGTGTTTAAAATTAGTAATTGACTCAATTGATTTTAATGGCGAAGGAAGACTGTTTCAAGAATGATTTGGTGCATGAATATTTGTCCCCAACCTAGCATGCATATCTAAGATCTAATCCCCCCCCTCCCCGTGTTGTCAGCTCTGATTGTATTTAGTGAAATTTTATTAGATCAAAACCATTGAACTAGATTTGATAAATCAGCATTAATGTATTTGTTTGTTTTTTTAATGATTTGTTGATTACAAGCAAGTTGGTGTCAATAGCAAAATGGAAGGAAGCTCTTAATTTTAGCAAAAGTAATGCCTCTTGTAATGGGCCTTGAGGTACATCTGTAGTTAAACTTACTAAAGAAGATATGTTACCATTTATAGTGGCAAATTGAAATCATAAAGATATGAAGTTGCCATTTTTAGAGAAACTGCTCTTATACCGTTGTGTTCCAGTTTTCTTGAAGAAACAATTAACAGTGTCAAATGCTGTTTGTAAGTCAACAAACAAACCACAAGCAAAAAATTCTTGTTGAGAGCTTCATGATACTTTCAATATTTTTCAGATACGATACCACTTGAAATAAAAAACAAATTATTTTATTTATAAAAGATAAGTTATGATGTAAAAAGTAATATAGTTTTTTAACAAACGAAGGAAATGTTAAAAAAGAGAGTATTTAAAAATAAAAAAGAATCTGAAATACGTCATTTTGAAGTAACTGTTCTTTTTTAAATACTTTTAAAAGTTGGAACGAAATTTATAGTTTTACTATTATTTGGAGAAAATGAGTTTCACAAACGTGGCCTTTGGTATGATATTGAGAATTCAGATTGTTTTAACAAAGTTTTTGGAATATGATAATTATGCAATCGATAAAATGATAAATATGCAATGGATGATTTATGTAAATGATCTATAATATAGAAAAGGACTTCAAAAATATTTCCCAGCATACAATATGTTAATCTGAAAATGAATAAAATAATGCTATAAATATTTAGTAAATAAAAATTTAGCACTCCATGCTTTCTAAGCTGCGGATTGACACTGGTTTATTCAGCACTGGCTGAATGGTGGGCTTAGCACGGGGGCTGCAAGTAAATTGGGCCGGAAATTTTTTTTCGCATGTTGTAATTTCGAAATTAAAAATTAAAAAAAAAAAAAAAATGTAAATAAAACGTTTCTTGTTATGATGTATATAAATTAAGAATTTAATTTAATAAATTATTTTTGAATTTAGATTGTTACAATTTTTTATGTAATTAACTAAGGCCGTCACTGGGTATATTTATTAGTATTTAATATGAGGCGCCTTGCTTTTTTTTTTTAACTACTAGAGTGATGGATAAATGGAAAGTGGATAGAACTTATAAGCTTTCGTTTTTGAAATGCAGACAAAAATTATTATAAAACTTTTATATACTATTCAAAAAAGATTATAAGAAAAAAAAAAATACAAAAGTGGCTATACTTGTATGACAGGAATAATCCGCACTTGTAACCATGTTGCTGCGGCGATGTTTAAAATTATAGCTTCTATAAATTTATGGGTCTAACAAATACGGCGCAATTAGTTCAAATTAATGACTTCAAAAACTAATGGCTTCATAAACTAATGGCTACAAATTGTAAAGTTGAGAAATCTAGAAATCCTTTTACTATGCTGAGAAAAAATCAGTTATGAGAATTAATATTTCAGCTGAAAGTTTTTTTCTTTAAGGTTTTTTGATGGAACATTTTAAATTATTGTGTTTTATTATTGTAAAAAAAAATATTATTTTTAAAAGTAATCAAGTGAATTAGAAGTACCGAAATGCATAACAAAGATTGCGAAATGCATAACAAAGATTGCGAAATGCATAACAAAGATTGCGGAAATCAAAAGATCTTGATAATGCTAATTTGCTTTATTTATAAAAAGGTTTTATAAATATTATTGAATTTCTCAGGCAGTTCATTTTATCCTCTTTTAGATCTACTTTTAAAAAATATGCTGAATAGAATTTTTACATCCATATTTCAATCGTTTAAAATGAAATTAAAATTCTATGAAAAATGCAGTTTTAATTATATGAGTAAAAAGAAATTTATTATTTAAAAAAACTAGTGATAAATATGGCATTTTCAATCTGATTTACACCGACATAAATAAGCCAGATCAAGATATAAACACATTTTTGTCATAAGGTTGTTTTTTTGTCATAAGGTTGTTTTTTTTGTCATAAGGTTGTTTTTTTGTCATAAGGTTGTTTTTTTGTCATAAGGTTGTTTTTTTCAAGCAAATTTTGTGAAGATCTTTCATCAAGTCAATAAAATTTTTGGAACATTTTCTTATAATTATTTTTTTTTTAAGAGCATATTATAATGAAACAAAACAAAAAAAAAAAGTTTTTTAATTTTAGTAGTTATGAAACTATATTTTTTTGTTTTTGTTACACTTGGTTTATTTTGAGAAGCGAATTGAAGTAGGGAAAGAAAAGAAGTATATATTTATTACATATACTTGATAAATATTAAATTTAGGCGCCTGTTGCACCCGTTTTTAGTAACCATTTACATATATAAAATTTATTTATTTTTAGAAGTAAAGTCGGAAGGATTAAAAACTATCGAACGAATGCATAACACGCTGAATGGATGTATCTAAGATTCTTGAAATCAAAGAGCGTTCAAAACATTTATTTGTTGAAAGCTCATTTTGCTTGCTAGAAACTAATCAATGCAAAATAAAATCAATCATAATATAAAGCTCATCTCAAAGTTATTCTAACAATCAAACACTCTTCAAAAAAATAATTTAAAAGTATTTTAACACTTGACTCGACATGGTTAGATAATAAATCATGAAAAATACATCCTTTCGAATGACCTAAGTTATATAAAACTACAACAGCTGATAAGCATGAATTTTGGTACCAAAATGCAACAGTAAATACAGTAACTTGCTTCTTGTACCAGTTTGCTGACTGCACTTCATCTTGCCACAAAGTTGAAAAATTTTCAGCAAAAACCACTTGCAATACGGCAGTGTCTGGATTATTTTGAAGTTATGTCTTTGAATATTTCTTATTGATAAAATAATGCCAAAGGAATAAAGTTGAAGATTTAGAAAAGGTGTTTTTAAGATCAGCAATTCTTTCCTTTTTTTTAACTTTTTTAATATATTTTTTTCCATTACCTTCCACAACTTTCTCCTATTGGTACCATGTAATGCATTTATACTTGACAATTTAATTCAAACGTAAAGTTTGCAGCAAATTTGCACGTTGTACATTATTATAACAAATGTCTTTTTTACATGCATTTTTTCTGGGATACGGATTTTATTAATTTTTGTTAAAAGTTTTTGTACAACCTTAGCCCTCTTTCTCGGTGATTTTGGTAGTGCTAACTTGGCTCTCCTAATAGCTTTTCCAAGAGTGCTTGCAGATTTGTAAGGGGGTGATCTGTACGAAATCTGTAGTTGTTACAACTACAGATTTCGATTCTGCTATTTTTTGTCTATTCTTTCTCTTTTGTTGTCTTTCTTTTTCTCGTTCAGCCTCCAATATAGCAAGTCTTTTATCTTTTCTCCTTTTTGTTTCTTTTTTTTTAACTGCTTTTTTACCAAATTTTTCTAGCTGCCTTTCATGATATTTCTTTTGACGTTCAGTATGAGTAAGAGGCACGTTAAACCCTTGAAAGTTAAACAAAATCAACACTGTAGTTATGGAGATGTTACATCTTGGGCTCAATGGAGTTACAACTATCCCATAGAGAGGCTTAATGTACCCCAAAGGAGAGCATTTATTACCTTTATTTTGGGTATTGAAGTTTATCCTCATCCGGCTATTTTTCATTTAGAGGCCACATACCCGGGTCAGTGAAGACAAGTTCAGCTCAGTAAAGAGAATCATCACCCGCTGCGCTGACCAATAGTAAGTGAGTTTAAGAAGAACGAAGTAAGTTAGGGTGAAATTCAGAAAAAGTCGAGTTAGAAAGATAGCATAGAGAATACGGACAGATATTGCACAAGATGTTAGACTTTGCAATTTATACTATTAATTAGATTACCTAATTAATGTATTAGTATAAACGTAGTCATCATTGCTGATGACGTTTGTTTATACTTATTATTTTATACATTACCTTTAATTTGTAGTCTTTCTAATGAAAGTAGACAACACAATATTCTGGGTAATTAAAGTTGCTAAAAACTCAAGCGTGGTTTCAGCTTAACAGTT